CTTGGGATTGCTACATCTATCACTACGGCCTTCTTCTTCTGTTTGTCCACCACTACTATGTCCGGTTGGTTGGCCATTACCAGTTTGTCAGTTTGTATCTTGAAGTCCCACAGGATCTTACCTTGGTCATTCTCAACCACCTTTGGAGGTGTATCCCATTTTGACTTTGGGACTTCTAGCTTGTACTTGGCACAGATGTTTCTGTACACTATGCCAGCCACTTGGTTATGGCGTTCCATGTATGCCCTGCCTGCTAGCATCTTGCACCCTGCTGTTATGGGCTGGATTGTCTCAGGGGCATCTTTGCACAGCCTGCACCTAGGGTCCTGTCTGGATAGCTCAGTGGCTAACACCACTGACTTTGGTACGGGGAAGGTCGGGGTCAGGGCACGGTTCCTGTCAGGTGTTGAGGAACCAGGGCAACCTGATGAGAAGTGGGCTAATGGAACAAGACATTCATGGACAAGATATGAGAACAGGGAATGATTGGAATGCTACTATGTCTTCTTCTTCTTCTTTCGGCTGTTCCCGTTAGGGGTCGCCACAGAGAATCATCTGTTTCCACCTACAGTCATGTGAAAAAATTAGGACACCCTTTGAAAGCATGTGTATTTTGTAACATGTTTTAATATATGGTTATTTAATCTCAATTTTAACAATACAGAGAGATTAAAGTAATACAACTAAACAAGTAAAACTGAAGAAAAGTCTTTTCAAGATCTTCTGTAAATGTAATTCTACAAAAATGCCTATTCCAACTGAGGAAAAAGTTAGCACACCCTAGCCCCTAATAGCTAGTGTTACCTCCTTTGGCTGAAATAACTGCAGTGAGACGGTTCTTGTAGCCATCTACCAGTCTCTGACATCGGTCTGAGGGAATTTTATCCCACTCCTCAATGCAGAATTGTTTCAGCTGTGAGATGTTTGAGGGGTTTCTTGCATGTACAGCCCTTTTCAAGTCACCCCACAGCATCTCAATGGGATTCAGGTCTGGACTTTGACTCGGCCATTCCAGGACTCTCCATTTCTTCTTTTTCAGCCAGTCTTTGGTTGATTTACTAGTATGTTTTGGGTCATTGTCATGTTGCATGGTCCAGTTCCGCTTCAGCTTTAATTTTCTAACCGATGGTCTCACATGTTCTTCAAGCACCTTCTGATACACAGTAGAATTCATGGTGGATTCTATGATGGTGAGCTGACCAGGTCCTGCTGCAGCAAAGAATCCTCAAACCATGACACTTCCACCTCCATGCTTCACAGTTGGTATGAGGTTCTTTTCCTGGAATGCTGTGTTTGGTTTACGCCAAACATGTCCTCTGCTCTGGTGCCCAAATAATTCAATTTTGGACTCATCTGTCCAAGGAACATTATTCCAGAGGTCTTTGTCAACATTCTCTCTGGCAAATGTCAGCCTGGCCTTGATGTTTCTCTTAGAGAGCAAAGGTTTCCTCCTTGCACGCCTCCCATGCAAGTTAAACTTGTGCAGTCTCTTTCTGATTGTAGAGGCATGCACTTCTACATCAACAGTAGCCAGAGCCTGCTGTAGGTCTCGAGATGACATTTTAGGGTTTTTGGAGACCTCTTTTAGCATCTTGCGGTCTGCTCTTGGTGTGAACTTGCTGGGGCGACCAGACCTGGGCATGTTGGCAGTTGTTTTGAAAGCCCTCCACTTGTAGACTATCTTCCGGACAGTGGAATGGCTGATTTCAAAATCTTTTGAGATCTTTTTAGATCCCTTACCAGACTCATAGGCTGCTACAGTGTTTTTTCTGAAGGCCTCTGACAGCTCTTTCGCTCTCACCATGGTGCTCACTCTCACTTCAACAGTCAGGAGCACACCAAACTAAATGTCTGAGGTTCAGATAGGGCAAGCCTCATGCAAAATGCTGAGTAACGATCTACTAATTATGTGCACCTGGTGTGATATACCTGTGGGTGATTTGAGCAATTTTAAGAGGGCATCCATGGGAGGGTGTGCTATCTTTTTCCTCAGTTTGGCATTTTTGTAGAATTACATTTGTGTGCTGGTTATGTGTAGGACTCTTTGTTGATGTGGACCTTTGCAGTGACTCTCCCATGAATGGGCTGACAGCTCTCAGCAATGGAACCATCCTGATATTCAAAGGTCAGTATCACTATGTTCACTATACTGTACATACTACACATTCTTTAGGTTAGGTTTTGTGTGTTTGCGCATGTACATGCAGGTGGTATCAATTTTTTCTGTAGTTCATTCGATACATACTGTTAATGTGGCAAGCTGCATTTACTGTAGATGGATAAATGTAATGTAATATGTGCATGTGTCAGAATGTGTGTGTACTGGTGCAACAATGAATTGAGTGTGTGTGAAAAGTGTCTACATATTGTTTGCATATGTACAAAATTTTGTATGATGTGGGTTCATGTGAGTTCTGTATCAATCAAATTACAAGAAAATAAAACTGAGAAAAGCAGCAACATTAAAATCTTAACTCAAATGTTATGTTTTCTTGAGTGACTTTAATAAACAATCCTTTATCAAAACTTTCATTATGTAACAATATGGAAGCGAGTGAAAATTAGATGTCTTTGAAACAGTATCACTGCTTCTCATTAAACAACTTTATTATTGAGGCATGTGCAGTAACAGCCCAATAAGCAGAACAAAATGAAGAAACTAAGAAAATGACAAAACAATTAAAAACTCACTGCCTTACACAATGTGACAGAGTCGTGGCATTACTGACCAACTGGACACAAGATTTACTGACATACTGAACGTCTCAAAATTCAACAAAAAATAGTCTAGGAATTAAACATTATTTCCTCTTTTCCTTGAGTGAAAGGACAGAGTTGCTACTGCTGACATCATCATTAGGTATTGCTCCCTCTGCCCATGGCTCCTCCCCTTCCTCCTCTAAAGAAAGTTCCTGAAAACAGTAAGAAGAAAGCAGTTTCTAACTGACTGATCCCATGTCATCACTAATCAGGATTATTCCTGCATCTTTATCTTTCTGCTTACTGTACTTGAATAAACAGCTTCATCACACCAGCGGCTCGAGTCTATTCTGTAAGTGTGCGTATCAGATTATCAAGTGGAAGTTAGAAGACCAGCCCTGCAGGGGTGGTGGAGTTTCTTACCTCTGCGGCTGAGCAGCGTCCTGGCTTCCCCCCTCCCCCCTCTGGCTCCTCTGCCCGAGAGGTTGCTGGTCAGATGTGGACTGCTCATTGCGAGCCGCTGAGTGATGCTGCTGGTGTCTAAGAACAAAAGCAGAGATGAAACTTTCAGTGAGGGGACACATGCAGGACATGTGATGGCTGCACAGCAGAAAGGTGTTGAAACTTCTTGTGACATCCTCAGATGGAAAGACTGCTCTAGTCGTGATCAAACTCCAGCTGTCCAGATAGGTACACCTCTCACTTCAACATGCTGTGGGTTCAGTGTTTTTACCTATGGATGGAATAAGTGTTCAATATATAGAATCTGATGTAATTATCCTTAATTGTGAAAACATCACATTAAACATTGCAGTAGGCTGTCATCTGTCCCTATAATTAAGCTAGGGGCTGAACTGTGGAAAGACAAACCAAATTAATTACACAATATTGTCAGAAAAATCCTTTCACAGCTGAAGGGCTTGAAGTAAATGTGTGGGATGTCAGTGGCTGCTGTAAAGAGTCAGGGTTACAACCAAAGCAAAGCAACTTCTTAGGTGAGAGTCTGGAGAGAGGAAGGATTTTATGGCCAGCTGTTGATCTTCTCTGCAGATGTACAAACAGGTGTCGTGAACCATCTGTGTTCATAGTTGTCAGGAATGACCTTGGTTTTCTGATCACTGCATCTAAATCAGCTATTTGCTGCTTTTTGTGTTGTATAGATTTCTGTGCTATATCCACATTTTGAACTATTGGTCAAATATTCTGTATTATGTTCAGAGGTATCATAGGTTAAATGATTGTAAAACTAACCAGCAGATTAACTCGTAATGAAAATAATCATTATTTGCAGTTCATTGCTATGGAAGCGCACTGCATTCACAAACGAACAATAATTGGACATCTGATCTATGTATGACTTACCATCTTCTAGTTACAAGGTTTAGATCTGAGAATTCTGTAAAAAGTGTAATTGATGGTGCAGGAACTGGAACACTTCTGAACCTGCCTGAGAACAGAGCATGTGAGAGGAGCAGAGCGTGAGGGAGTGGGCGGCTTTTCAACAGAGCACAGAGTGGCTTTTGTAAAAAGGAGGGAGTGTCGCCCTATGTCTCACTCCAATTTTGCTCCGGAACTTCTCATACCATGAGCCTAAAGCATAATTAAGCCCGGCCGAGAATGCATCCGTGTCTTGCACAGTCATCCAACACCTTTCAGCCAAAAATCGGCTGTTGTGAGCTCAATAACGGAGTTGCTAAAGTACTTTCAGGAAACTGAAAGGTCATACAAGTGTACTGTATATTTTTATTTAATTAGGCCCATTGATTTGTTACATTACTTACTTTACATATGACTTTGTGTTATATTCCTTGTTACACAGGCCTAAGTGTAATTTGAAATAAATCATTTCTATTTGGAAAAAAGTCTACGTAAGCTGAAAGTGAAATACATGCCGATTACGTCCCCTTCTTTGGAGTAAGTGGGTGCGATCTCAGTGGAACGGGATGCAATCTGAGTTGAGCGCTGAGCGCTGAGCGATAATGAGTGGATCAACCTAGTGCAGCTTTGAGTGGGGGAGTGGAGCGGGCAAACATCTTTGTGAGTCATCATATGCCCTGCCTGAGAATCATCAGGTTTTAGAGATTTCCTCAGTATTTCAGTAATTTAGAGACTGTTGTCCACACATCCAGTGATAAACAGTAAAATGACCTGGTTAGAACTAATTCAGCGCACTTAATATTCCAGAACATGAACAAATAAAGGCTCAAACAGTGGCCCCAAGTTGCAGCGCACCCAGTCACTCTGTCCATGGCAACATTACTCTTCCTGTTCCTTGTGAAAGCTTAAATCTGTTAACACATGAATAATGGCTCATCATTACCCGGGTCCTGGCTGGTAGAGGGCAGTGATGCATCTTCACTCTGCTGTCCTGTTGACTCCAGCTCTGCCTGGCTCTCCAGAGAAGATTCCATACCAGGCCTGAAGGAAAACACACAGGCAAGGTTAGAGGCAGCTCCATCCTAAAAATGTTAGTGCAGCTGTCTGGATACTTCTGAATAGAGTTCAGTGGTACAACATGCTTTACCACAAACCCACCTGACCATTAGGAAAAGTAATTTTCAACCTCCCAGTCATTGCACTCAACCTCTTCATCACATCTTTGCTTTTCGAATAGTATTCTTATTTTACAGTATGACAGTGTCCTTCAGGACAAGGTTCTAACTGTTTTCTAGGACTTAAAAACAGGAAGGGGTCTGACTGCTTTCTGAAGCCACTGTACATCCTCTGGTGTCAGTCCCACTGATTTAGTAAAGGGCCGCTAAGGTCATAAGTTGCTCACCCTTCTCCTTCCTGCTCCATGAAGACCTCATCTCCATCGTCTGCAGCAGCAGCCATGCTGGTGGAGGCAGTTACCATGGGAACAGACTGGGAGGCCATGTTGTCACTGCTGTCTGAGGGCAGAGACTCAGTGAAGACTGTCACTGATAGAGACCAGGAGTAAGGATGTAGCATTTATATCTAACTCCAATGCTGCAGAACAATGCTGTTGCATGTGTGTTTCTTACCTGGTGCGGCCACTTGTAAAGGTGTGGTGGGGACACTCCTTCCTCCTCCGTCTTCATCATTAGCAGCCAGGAACAGAGGAGACTCGTATATCCCCAGACCTACAACACAGAATTGCATGTTACAATCAATAAACTCCTACACAAAACTGTGCGAGACTAGCTCAGACTGGGTGTGGTACCTCCTTGAGAGGCCAGCTGTCCCAGGTCCGAGTGTGAGGCTGATGACTGAGGCAGCAGGTCCTCTGGAGGTCCAAACCTGAACCTGGTGGACAGACTTGCCACCTGGGGAGAGCTGAGGGGATACACATGAGAGGTAACATGAGAACCTGATGAACAGGATTAATCTGAACACCGCTCACAGTCGAGTTTGCCTTATTAAAGCTGTTTTATAAGGGCTGTGCCATCCACTGCAGTGAGGCTGAACTCTGTGCACACAGTGTACACATACCGTCAGGTGCATAAGTATTTGGACAAAGAAACAATTTTGCTTCTGTACACCACCACAATGGATTTAAAACAACAAAGTCAATACATTTTAGAAGTGTAGACTTTCATCTTTAATTCAAGGGAATTAAAAATATTGCATTAACCATGTATGAAGCCATTTTATATATAGTCCCCCAGTTTCAGAGGCTCAAAAGGGGACACAACAACATTTAAAAAAATATATACTGTATATAATTATTATTTTTAATACTTGGATGTGAATTCTTTGCATTCAGTGGCTGCCTGAAGTCTGGAACCCACTGACATTGCTGAATGCTGAACTACCTCCTCCAAGATGCTCTGCCGGGCCTTTACTGGTGCGGCCTTCATTTGCTGCTCGTTTGTAGGTCTTTCTGCATCAGTTGTATCTTCAGGAAGCACAAAGCACTATCAGTTGGGTTGAGGTCAGGTGACTGACTCAGCCACTGAAGAATATTCAATTTCTTTGCTTTGAGAAGCTCTTGGGTTACTGTCGCTGTATATTTTGGGTCATTATCCATCGGTACTGTGAAGCACCACTCTGTCAGTTATGCAGCATTTGGCTGAATCTGGGTATCTAGTATCGATCTATGTACTTCCAAATTCATGCTGCTACTTCAATAAGCTTTCACATCATCAGTAAAGACCAGTCATTCGGTGCCCATGCCACAAACCTACCTCCACTATGTGTGACAGATGATGGTGCACACATTGGATCACGACACAACACATTGGTGTTGCTGAGCTCAGCAGTCCATTTCTTCTTGTAGAGAATGTACCACATTGTTGATTCAGCCATTCCTGAAGTTTCTGCTCTCTGAGAGGTTTGTTTTGTTTTTGAAGCCTTATGATGGCCTCCTTGACTTGGCAGCAACACCTCTTTGGACCACTAATGGACAGCCGTCAAATGCAAATTCAACACTTGGAATCAACTCCAGACCTTTTAGCTGTCATGAAATAATGAGGGAACATGCCACACATGGCCATGAAACTGCTTGTCAGTCGTCCACTTACTTTTGAGCCTCTGAAAATGGGGGACTATGTATAAAAATGGCTGTAATCCCCAAATGGTTAATGCAATAGGTTTGTAAATTCCCTTTGAATTAAAGCTGAGTCTACACGTTAGTAATATCTTGACCAATTCATTCCAGGTGGTGGACAGAGCTGCACAAAATTACATTCTTGTCCAAATATTTATGCACCTGACTGGATTTTAACAAAAAAAGCTTGCAACAGAAATCCTCAGGTGTTCATATCTTGGGCTCATGTAGGTATATGAGTAAATTAAGCATCTGAAGATATTAAAATCATGTATGCAGCACTAACACTCCTTTTTTAATTAAAGCAGCTGCCTTCCTCTTAAGTTTTTTTTTTTTTTTTAACTTTTTAAAATCAATCTTACTGTATAGCCTCTGCGAAGCCATCAGTGCGGTGTGGGACAACCAGGGTGGGAGTACTGGGAACCATCCTGTCGTCATCGTCAAAGAAATATTGCTATAACACATAAGACACACTGTCTCAGCTTAAACATTCATCTTGCATGTTTCATACAACATATACAACTGACCGTGTTTAGGTCAGAAATGCAATACACACAACATATTAACACCATAAAACAAATGTAATCCAATTACAAGACACACTTAATCCCTTACCGTACTGCCTATTCCAGGGGTGAGCTGGAGTCCACGTCCTACTGATGGTCTGCGCAGCTGAGAGGACTGTCTCTGCTTCATAAACAAAGCTCATCACCATCAGAGTACTTAAGCATTCATCCAACAAGTCATTTTGGGGAGAGTGAATGTTCTTCTGTTTCTGTGTGTTAGCCCTGTGATGGACTGGCGACCTGTCCAGGCTTTATCCATGGATGAAGGTATTATGCATATACACTGATCCGCCATAACATTATGACCACCTGCCTAATACTATGTACACAGAACTCAAAGCAGCAGTTGGTTGGCCCTCATGTCACTGCAGCTCACTGTGCATCTTCTATGAATTCACTTTCCACAGTTCTACTGTCAGGAAAAGCACGAATGCAGACAATTCAGTGAAAAATGTATGTAAAAGGAGTGAAAACTGTGGTCGTGACAAGTTAAAAAACAATTGTGCAGATCAGTTCAACAGCCTCCTCACTCTAGGTGTGACATCATCACTACAGCCGCTGACTATTTTGTCTGGTAAAAACAAAGAAATGTTTTGTTTACTTGGATCAAACTGCGAGTGTGTGCGCATACTTGTGAGTGTGGGGGTCCCAGCTCTGGAGCAGGAGGTTGTATATAGAGCCGTGGTGGGAGGGAGTGTGTGGGCCTACGAGGGTGTGGCAGGCGATGTGTGTGGGAGGATGAGGTGGAGAGTGCAGAAGAAGAGGAGGTTGGGAGGAGGTGTAAAGGGTCTCTACCAAGGTCAGATGCTGATGTGGCACTGCTACTACCTTCACCTGGAAGAAATGAGTGACTCACATAAGCTTATTTCAAAATGAGGAACTACTACATCAACCCACATGTTCTCGGTGGTGCTTACTGCTGTGTGACAGCTCGGACACACGCTGGGAGTCTGAAGATGCTCCACACATATTCTCCTCACTGCTGGTGGCTGCTGATGGCTCCTCCTCCTCTCCCACCTCCTGAGCCTCCCTGCTCCCCTCATTATTCTCCTCTCCTCCCTTCATTCCACTGTCACCAGCATCATCCTCATCTTCGTCGTCCTCTTCTTCCTCTTTATACTGAGGCAGATACCGAAATGGAGGTTATTTACTCCAAAAGGTCAAAGCTGAAAACATTTTGACAAGTTAATAAACAAAGATGCACCTCCTCCTCATCTTCATCTTCATTCTCCTGCTTCTCCTCCTCCTCTTTGCTCTCACGACTCTCGCTGTCTGTGTCGATCACAATGACGTCCCGGATTATGGCAGACTGCTGAGAGGGTGTCAGATCGGAGGGGACAGACTGGGAGCCGCTTTCTTCCTCCATGTCCTCGTCGTCTTCAGTTAAGATAGGGAACCGCTCCTCTGGAATCTCCTGTATCCCAAATAGAAACCCAGTATTATGCTTTTTAAATCAATGTTAAAAGAAAATCACCCTCATAAATATACAGCTTCAAACAAATAAAGCATTTCATCTTCAAGTGGAGAGGATCTGTAGCTATTAACTTACCATACATGATGTCATTAGTGTTGTCAACAACAACACTGACACACAAGCACCCCGTCATGCCCACTGAGGTCCCTCTGAGCCCCAAAAGCAACAACAATATGACCACCATGTTGGAGACCTTCAACCCCTGCCATACATGTTCCCATCCAGGCTGTGCTGTCCCTGTGTGCCTATGGTTGTGCCACAGCTACTGTGATGAACTCGGTAATGGCGTGCGCCCCAAACAGTGCCCATCAGCATGGGCTATGCCCTGCCCCGTGCCATACGCAGGGCTTGAATTTTAGTGTGGGCCTGGGGGTATTGCGCATAATTTCACTGATTCCTGCAAATGTAGCTCTCACAATGTGAGGACATCGTCACACACATTTCTAGCAATGTTAAACAGTGGGTGCGCTCCAAAACCCAACCGGCATTGTGCTGTTTGTGCCGGGGGGGCTGGTCTCCATTCATTTGGACTACTCTACTTAACAAGCTGCATGCTAGGTGAATATAACAACACTCGGTGTGCTTTCTCCCCCTCTCTACAAAGCTACGTGTCCCCTCTGCTGTTGCGTCTCTCGCTAGCATATATAGTCAGGTTTTAATAATATGCACATGACAACAACAAGCATACAGACATAGACTGCTAGTTAACACAAGTCTACATCAAATGAAGTGGACCCCGCTCATAAAAAAGACTAAGCCCAAAAGACTAGCACAGCTGGCAGCGCCAGTGATGTCAACGTTACTCCTCAGGGTCCTCAGACAGGGGAAGGACATTACAAAGATGTTTCAGGCTAAATGGCTGAGAATATATTCAGGGTTTCAACTTAATGTTTACATGAGCTGTTTGATTTGTAAAATGTACAGTGCTGTGCTTGTCATGAAGTGTAAGTGGTGGGGGTCAAACTCCACAGTCTTTATTCTGTTAAAAAAGTTGAACATGAAACTAATGTAAAGGTTGAGCAGCCTCAGTTGGTGAAATCAATCTGTAGTATTTCTAGTGCAAAACTGCCTCTTTGTTTTACTGGAGGTTCATTTAAATGATGTGCTGCATCACAAGAGTGGCCATCGATCTCTGAAGAAACAAAGAGTCAACTGCTCTTTGTTCTAGCGCTGCACATAATGATGCAAGTGGTGTGAATATGGCAGAGATCACACACACACACATGCTCATGGGTGTGTTTTTAATAGTTTTTGGACGACAATGGACACAAATGAATAAGTTAAACCAGTTTCTGCATTCACAGACAGTGAGTAAACCAAATTCACTGTTGGTTTTAGTCTCTGATTTGTGGGAAAAAAGAATTAAATAAAAAATGTTCAATACCCTACAACCAGAAAAAAAAAGTTTGATTACACTGGCATAAAAACACCACATTCGGCAGTTATCTATAAACTGGACTGTAGATTGATATCTACGGTCCACAGCAGCTTTATACTGTATGAAAAACTTCTCATTCTCCAGTTCATTCATTCCCTGCAGCACATGAAGGCAGCAGGACTCATGCTGAATAATCTCCAGCCACTGGTTTGAAAGATGCCATTACACCCAAGTGTCTACTGTGTTTACCGTCAATGAATGATGTGCAAATGACACTGGATTACTGCAAATATTTGAATGAGAAACAGTTCATATGCAGGACTGTATTTGTTGTACTGTACATACTGTAGGCTTGTATTTTGCCACACATAAGTACAGACACCAATTACAGTATATGAAGATATAGTGTAATCTTTAACCTCATACAACATTGTTGTTTTCATCACTGACTGACCTGACTGTCCTCTGACGAAACCTGTCGAGCTCCCTCATCCCTCAGCTGTCCTTCAATCTCCTCATCATCTCCCATCTGAAACATACCAAGTTATACAATTGTAAATACACAGTTACAAATTAATTCAATAAATTGCACAAACAACAGTGATGGGTGCTAAAAAACAAACAGAGGATAACAAAAACCACAAACCTAAAAAAAGAAAAAACCCTGCTGCTGCAACAACAACTTCAATATCAATTCTGGACAAAAACAAACTGGACAGGATTAGTGACACCCTCGACATAATATTTGGTAGCACACTCTTTGGACAAAGTAACTGGTATCAGTCACTTCCTGTAACCATCAGTGAGGTTCTTCCAACTCTACTGGAATTTTGGACCACTCTTCTTTTGCCAACTGCTCCAGGTCTCTCAGATATGAAGGCCTCATTCTCCCAGCTGCCGTTCTGAGATCTCTCCACAGGTGCTCTATGGGATTTACATCTGGAGTCATTGCTGGCCACTTCAGAACTCTCCAGCTCATTGTCTGAAACCAGTTCTGGTGCTTTATGAAGTCTGCTTCGGGTCATTGTCCTGATCTAAGACCCATGTCCTCTGACAGAGACCCAACTTTTGACACAGAATTCACAGGTAATCTTCAGATTTCATAATGTCACACACACAGTCAAGACATCCAGTGGCTGAAGCAGCAAAGCAACCCCAAAACATCAGTGAACCTCCATCATGTTTGACCATAGGGACCATGTTCTTTTCTCTGAAGGCCTCATTTCATTTTCTGAAAACAGTAAAATGATGTGCTCGACCAAAAGCTCTACTTTAGTCTCATCTGTCCACAGGACATTCTCCCAGAAGGACTGTGGCTGCATCAGCTATGTTTTGGCAAACTCCAATCTGGTTTTTTTATGTCTCTGTGTCAGCAGTGGGGTCCCCTGGGTCTCCTACCAGTGTACCTTGTAATTCAAATGGTGACATAGTGTGAGCTGACACTGTTGCACCCTGTGCCTGCACGTCAGCTTCGATTTGTTTGGAAGTTGGTTGAGTTTCTTTATCCACCATTGCAATCTGTCATCTATTTTTCTCTTTTCGTCCACGTCCAGGGAGGTTAGCTACAGCTCCATGGGCTGTAAACCTCTTGACAATGCTCTACATAGTAGACACAGGAACAACCAGATCTCTGGAGATGGACTTGGAGCCTTGAGACTGTCCAGGCTTTTCCACTATGGTGGTTCTCAAACCCTCAGACAATTCTTTGCTCTTCTTTCTTTACTCTGTGCTCAGTGTGGTCCACACAACACAAAGGTTGAGTCAACAAGTGTGATTCCTATGTTGCCAGCACCTGTTGGTTGCTACAGGTGAGTTTCATTACAAATTAAAGGAGCATCATGTTTGAAATACAACAATTTTTAATGATTTTGAAAAGGTGCCAATAATTCTGTCCAGTCCATGTTTGGAGTTCTGTGTGGAATGGATCAGATTTGGCTTTTTTCTCTGCTTTTTTTGTTGTTCCAATACAAACAAAAGAAATAAACATGAGAAAACCAAAGACTTCGCGATTGCAACAGTTTTCTGGGAGAAGTGGTCTGTTATCTGACAGAAATACAGGGGAACCAATATTTTCGTCTGTGAATGTATACATGGATATGCTATGTGCAAAAACATTTGTGTTACACTACTGTTTTACTGGGAACTGTTGACTAGAGCTTTTAGAAGCTAATGTTAAGATTTATGCTGGATGCAAGGGGTTAACACACATACCTGTTGCACTTTAATTATATTGGCCAACCTTTTGCTGACTTGGTGACAAAAGAAAGTGTGCTACACAAATATATAACTGCAGTTTATCCATGTAACCTTACTTGGATTCATTACTGAAGAGGAGACTTCTGCAGTGCAATGGCTGTGTTTAAGTTCCTTAACTGGTTATAATACAAAGCAGTGAGTGGTGAGCAGAAGATCTGCAGTGGAGATGGCTTTGCTAGATGAACTGGTGAAAGAGAGGAAATTATGGAAACTTCCATCAACTTCCTAACTGTTGTCTTCAGCATTAACAACCTCCAGTAGCATCAGAAACACAAGCAGTTGGAAACACAAGCAGTTTAGAACGTGCTTAATTTTTATATTTGGAGTCTACTTTTGAAGAGGGAGCTGTTGGAATCATGCAAATCTCCCACTGTATTTGTTGTGAACTTATGAACCACTGTTTTTCTACAGTGATCAGTTAAAGCTCCCAGGTTCTGTCAGCTATCTGGGCTCACTGTGGGCATACTGGGAAAATGTGAATAGAGTGATTCTATATGCAGTTTTCCTCTAGTACAGTACTCATGGGGCCTACTTTGTAAAATGAATTACTAATATTACTTAGCCTGGTAAAGGCAGTCTGACCGCTCAGCTCCCCCAAAGTTCTGCCGCTGACAGCAGAGCTGGCGCCATAGCAGAGGGCCATGCTGATTTATTGCACATATACTAGAGTAGTGCTCATGCACAGCTAATGTCTCACAACTGCTGTGAATTTGGGGTAATTATTCACCTCATGTTTTTCATACCTGAAAGTTTAAAGACATAGAAGTTTAAATAACCTAAAGCCTAAAATGTAATTAACTAATATGCTTTAACAAAACATTTAAAAAGAACTCCACGTTAGTGTGCTATTATCCAGAAAAAAAAAAAAAAAGCCTAAATCTTATTCATTCAAAAACTTTACCCGAATAACAGGCTTGTTTATTTTCAGTGTGCACTGTACCTGCCGTGCTAATATTGTTTCTAGTCGCCGTTTCCTAGCGGTCGGTGGTGTGTCTGGTCTGCTCTCCTCTTCCTCCTCCTCGGTCTCTCTGCCACGCTTTAAACCTGCTTTAGTCACACCAAGTACACACACGATAACCCCAGGACATCAGATAATATAATTTAACTGTTTAATCTAGTCAGACAGAAGACAAAGTGACTCTTCGCCATCATAGCCTTCTGTGCTCACTGAGAGTGAATGTCATGTGTGGTCAATACACCACATTCCAATTTATCTTTTCATCATTTTAAATGTTTTTAACGCAGTAGGCATTGTACTGGTGGGTTTGAGATATGGCCCTGCTCACCTGCTCCAATCAGAGAGGAGGACGTAGATGGTCGCTCTGCCTCTATACTGGAGCCTGTATCCTGATTGGCTGCCTGCTGCTGGGTGGGCTGGACAAATGCTGTGGCCTGTGTGCTAGTTGGCTGAGTTATGGAGGTGGGTGCGTTCACCAGACTGGAGCTGGTAGAGTGCACGGAGGCTCCTGCACTCATCATCACTACAGGGAGAAAAATATATTACACTCTGATACATCTCACACACACACACACACTTCAGCGAAGCGACTAAAACTCACTTTCTCTAAAATAAATTTTAAATACTCTCATCTCCACTGCTAAGTTCTGCTTTCTTTTTCTCTCATGCTCTCACCCTCTTGACTGTCGGTTTGTGTGGTCGGCATGACAGTGGCGGTGGGTGTAGGGATGGGGACAGATGCCGGAGTAACCATTGGTCTGATGCTGGCACGGGGCGTGGCCTTGCTACCAGGGGAGGGGTTTGGCTTGCTGCTAGGAGATGGAGTACTTGGGGTGGGGCGGATGTTAGCGGTGGGAGGCTCAGAGACACTGGAACTGATGGAGAAACAAGGAAATTATTATTACAGTAATTTCTTTTCAGCTGACACTCTTCATGTGCATTAATTTTTTTGTGTTGTATTGTGTTCACTATTGTAAGCTTATGCTTATTGTTTGTGAGCTCATTGCTGTGTCTGAAGTTCTCTGAAAAGTGTACATGAATAAGCCTATTTAATATCATTCAGAACAGTTTCTGGAGTTTGCACATGTGTGTATTTGTTACCCTCCCCTGTCTTGGGCTGGACTCTTCAAAGATATCTGTCTCTGGTCTGCAGACTTGGGCTGCTCACCCATCTAAGCAGAGACAGATTTGTAATATTGCAGTCAGATGATGGAGAAATAAGGGAGAAGTGATTGTAACACAGAACTATTAGCATAACTCTATGACAGGTAATCTGATGGTCTAGATCAGGGCTCGGCAACCCGCGGTTCTTTGCAACAGTTTTCTGGGAGAAGTGGTCTGTTATCTGACAGAAATACAGGGGAACCAATATTTTCGTCTGTGAATGTATACATGGATATGCTATGTGCAAAAACATTTGTGTTACACTACTGTTTTACTGGGAACTGTTGACTAGAGCTTTTAGAAGCTAATGTTAAGATTTATGCTGGATGCAAGGGGTTAACACACATACCTGTTGCACTTTAATTATATTGGCCAACCTTTTGCTGACTTGGTGACAAAAGAAAGTGTGCTACACAAATATATAACTGCAGTTTATCCATGTAACCTTACTTGGATTCATTACTGAAGAGGAGACTTCTGCAGTGCAATGGCTGTGTTTAAGTTCCTTAACTGGTTATAATACAAAGCAGTGAGTGGTGAGCAGAAGATCTGCAGTGGAGATGGCTTTGCTAGATGAACTGGTGAAAGAGAGGAAATTATGGAAACTTCCATCAACTTCCTAACTGTTGTCTTCAGCATTAACAACCTCCAGTAGCATCAGAAACACAAGCAGTTGGAAACACAAGCAGTTTAGAACGTGCTTAATTTTTATATTTGGAGTCTACTTTTGAAGAGGGAGCTGTTGGAATCATGCAAATCTCCCACTGTATTTGTTGTGAACTTATGAACCACTGTTTTTCTACAGTGATCAGTTAAAGCTCCCAGGTTCTGTCAGCTATCTGGGCTCACTGTGGGCATACTGGGAAAATGTGAATAGAGTGATTCTATATGCAGTTTTCCTCTAGTACAGTACTCATGGGGCCTACTTTGTAAAATGAATTACTAATATTACTTAGCCTGGTAAAGGCAGTCTGACCGCTCAGCTCCCCCAAAGTTCTGCCGCTGACAGCAGAGCTGGCGCCATAGCAGAGGGCCATGCTGATTTATTGCACATATACTAGAGTAGTGCTCATGCACAGCTAATGTCTCACAACTGCTGTGAATTTGGGGTAATTATTCACCTCATGTTTTTCATACCTGAAAGTTTAAAGACATAGAAGTTTAAATAACCTAAAGCCTAAAATGTAATTAACTAATATGCTTTAACAAAACATTTAAAAAGAACTCCACGTTAGTGTGCTATTATCCAAAAAAAAAAAAAAAGCCTAAATCTTATTCATTCAAAAACTTTACCCGAATAACAGGCTTGTTTATTTTCAGTGTGCACTGTACCTGCCGTGCTAATATTGTTTCTAGTCGCCGTTTCCTAGAGGTCGGTGGTGTGTCTGGTCTGCTCTCCTCTTCCTCCTCCTCGGTCTCTCTGCCACGCTTTAAACCTGCTTTAGTCACACCAAGTACACACACGATAACCCCAGGACATCAGATAATATAATTTAACTGTTTAATCTAGTCAGAAAGAAGACAAAGTGACTCTTCGCCATCATAGCCTTCTGTGCTCACTGAGAGTGAATGTCATGTGTGGTCAATACACCACATTCCAATTTATCTTTTCATCATTTTAAATGTTTTTAACGCAGTAGGCATTGTACTGGTGGGTTTGAGATATGGCCCTGCTCACCTGCTCCAATCAGAGAGGAGGACGTAGATGGTCGCTCTGCCTCTATACTGGAGCCTGTATCCTGATTGGCTGCCTGCTGCTGGGTGGGCTGGACAAATGCTGTGGCCTGTGTGCTAGTTGGCTGAGTTATGGAGGTGGGTGCGTTCACCAGACTGGAGCTGGTAGAGTGCACGGAGGCTCCTGCACTCATCATCACTACAGGGAGAAAAATATATTACACTCGAAATAAGGGAGAAGTGATTGTAACACAGAACTATTAGCATAACTCTATGACAGGTAATCTGATGGTCTAGATCAGGGCTCGGCAACCCGCGGTTCTGGAGCCACATGTGGCTCTTCAGCCTCCTTGTTGTGGCTCCCTTCAGGGAGATGTGCTGAAACGCTTTGCTGCTTGTCTGGAACACGTTAAAACCTTCTTGGAAAGCAAAGGCCTCAGCTATCCTGAACTGGGAGACCTCGATTGGCTGGAAAAGTTTTATTTCATGGTGGATATGACAAGTCACTTATGCGCGCTGAATAAAAATCTCCAGGGAAAGGGAAGCGCGGCCCTGCAGTTGCTGGAGGATTTCTGGCGTTTGAGCGCAAGATGACAGCGTTTGCCAGAGATGTACAGAGAGGTACGCTGTCTCACTTCTCCTCCCTGAGACAGTTCAAAGAAGAGAACAATCACATAAATTGTGATTATTTACAAACTGCAATTATGGCAATGCAAGCTGCATTTGGAGAACGATTCAGCGAGTTCAGAAAGGAACAAAACACTCTGTCCTTCCCTGTCACACCGCTGGACATCGACCCATCCCTGCTGAAGATATCCACATTCACAGAGATAAGTCAGCCCGATCTTGAAATTGAACTGGCCAAGATAGCGGATAAAGACTTATGGGTATCCAAGTTCAAAAGCCTGACAGCGGATCT